TCTGAACGCCATCTCCTCTACGTCATGTTGTTTCTGTTCTTTTCTGGCCTTCACTAAAGAGTCCCACCTCTGCTTACAGGATGTTTATAAGGAGAATCTGCTCATTTTGCCCGCAGCACGTCTACTCTTGGCCCTCTAAGTTCCAGAAAGGCGAGTATTCAACCGAAGATGACGAAAGGACAGAGCGCCCAACGACTATAGATTTGGACGTACTACGGGAGCAGGTGGAGGCGGACCCATACCAAACCACTCGTGCGCTGTCCGCAAAGCTTATTTTTAGCCAGCCGATTGTGGCCCGTGGATTGAAGGCAATAGGAAAGGTCCTAAAATCTGGTCGATGGGTACCACGCATTATTACAAACAGACATGTATCGGAAGGTCGACACGACCCTTCCTCTTCCCGCTCTCGAACGCACGCAGTCGTGGCTGGACAACCTAACCACCGGGGAAGGAAGCTGGGTACTATAGAATAGCCGCCGCCATGTCTAATGGGTAGGCAAAGGACGACAAGTAGAAGAGGTTCCGAAACCTGACCCGCAAGAAGAAAGAAAGTGGTACTATGCATCGAAAGAAAGAAAGTGGAGAAAGAAAGAAAGTGGTACTATGCATCTGGTGGAGTGTTCGTGGGGCAGAATACTGGGAGCTACTGAAAGAAGTACAACAGTGACTGCCGACATCTACGTTGCTCACTACAAGTTTGAAGGCTAACCTCACGAACACATGGGGAAGCAAGCTGAAGTGTACTTTCAGCACGACAACGCCAGACCACACATTGCAAGGGAGACGAATGTGGAGTAGCTAGGTGGCTGGACTGTCCTCTCCTCACCCCCTCACCATATTCTCCAGACCTTGTTCCCTCTGACTACCACCTGTTCTCGAACTTGCAAGGCCATTTGAGCGGTCAACAATTCGGAACCCACGACGACGTCGAGAAGGCACTAGATGGATTCTTCGAAGTCCAGCCAACCACGTTCTAGAAGAACGGCCTCTACGATTTACCCACTCGTAGGCACAAGACCATAGATAATAATGGAGCATATCTCAAATGATGAGGCGGAGGTGGTGTAGTGACAAGTGGCGCGCTTACCACTCGCGCGGCGCCGGGTTTCAAATCCCGGGTCGACACCCGCCCAGGCCAACCAAGCCTTCTACCCTCCGAGGACGGTAATTGGTACCCCGTGCCAGATTCGTCTGGGAGGATAAAACACTGACTTGTACATCGGCTGGCCACCGCAAGTCATTGTATAGGCCACATCGCATTCAATAAGCCACTACGATTCTGAATGGAAGTAGAATGCGTGCCGCATCCCACAAAGGGATTGATCAACGGCGAAGACTTTATCCTTATCCTTTTATCTCAAATGACTAGCTGCGGTTGTTTCATTTTTGTGCGGTAATAAACCTTAGGCTTCAAATGTCCGATGACTTTGAATCAACCCAATAAAAGTCATTTTACTGAAGGTGCAGATATGGCCCCAGCGTAGATCTCTACACGACAAGAAGTCATTTCATGAAAACGTGAATTACACTTACTTCATACGCCCAAATGGGGTGAATTTCAAGACAAACGAATCGGGTGGCTCCCCAGCCAAACGGGACCCTGTATTTGGAACGGTGCTTGTTGCCTAAATCTTTCAAGAATCTCACCTCTTCACGCTTACAGTCCCAGACGAAAATTGCTAAGAAAATCGTATTTTGAAAGACAAAGTCGAATATCACGGCTAATCCAGCAAACAAGGAGAAACCACGAACTGCCGGCATGTCAGAAATAGCACCTAAACAACATGCAATAAGCAGAATAGCAAACAAAATGAAGTGAACAATGAAGTGACCCTCTCCCTGACCCTAATCCACTTTTTCTAGGCTACTGAAGTGCACAGAAACCGGTCCTCAAATTCTCGGCTTGCCCCGCCCACATCGGTGCACGGCCCGCTCACTGTGAAAGTGTCTCTCGTTTCTTGCTCTCCTTGCCACCGTGATTCACTTTTTCTTGTCCCTGGAATGCAGAGGAATGTTCGACACCTTACCTACAAAGAAACATAAGCTCTCTGTTAGCGTGCTCAGGAGCATCGAAGGCATAACTTGACCACAAACTCGAGCAATTCGATCCTCAACTGATTGGTCCGTAGTGTCTTCCAATCTC